TATTTTTTGTAAATAATTTTTTTCTCAAATATCATTCCCCACAAGATGTCTGTCACCTACATCTTAAAAAAAAATCTGGAGCATATACGATCACTTGTGGCTCTCTTGGAAGCAAATCCCGGTTGTCACTCAGAACATGAGCGTTAGGGAGTTCAAGGTTTGATCATATAATTTGAATCAGAATTGTAAATTTATTTATTTTTTTTTTTGATATAATAGCACATGGATTATTTTTAATGTTGCAGAGGTCTTTTATCTGGCTCCCAAAATACCTACAAGAAATCTAGTTAATTTTCTAGATTCATCAGGTATCGGCTAGGTGCGTGCTCACTATAGCCTGTCAAAAGGCCTGGAGGTTCGCGTGGATCAGTGAGAAGCTTTTGGTTAAATTGACCTCAGCCTTGGCCTGTCCTTCTTAAGAGAGGAAGAAGCAGAGAAACCAGACGAACCGGGAGACAGAGGGGGCCATGGGAGCTGAACTTCAAATTAGAGGATCAATCCTTCGTAATAAAAACTATAAGAGACTAGTAAGATTTTGTTAAATAATTAAAAATTTAATATTTGATGTAACTATGTCGTGCTAACCAATCTTCTACACTACATAGGTCATGGAGTTGAGATGTCGACCCTCCACTGTAGAGCTACATGTCTGAACCCATCGGTGTCAGGGTCGTAGCAGTGGGTCTCGTAGCATTCCTAACTGATTTTTGTAAGTAAGAAAAAAAAATTAAGACTTATTTTGACTTTTACTATTCAAAGCAATAATTAAACATTATTTTTAATTATGCAGGAGGAGTTTGAGCAGCCACGGGAGAGGTACTTGGCCACTCAACCCAAGACTCTCGCCAGCAACAATGTTCAAGTTTTGGACTCAGGCGACAAAAAAAAAAAAAAATAAGTTGAGGGTCTATGACCTCAAAGTGAAGAGAATAGCCTTCGAGGCCGAGATCTCCTACGGTCTAATGAGTTCCCCGAGCTCCTCACAGCCAGATCAGGATGCATGCTCATGACAGGCAAGTCGCACTGATGAATGAAGTGCTCTCCCAGTTGCACGAACAGTTGCAACAAGGCCAAAATAGGGTCAAGGATTTCATAGTGCTCATGGCGGAGAGTTTAGCTTATCGTCGGAGCAAGCGGCCGATAACATCTGTCAAAGAGGTGGAGGAGGAAGAGAAAGAGGGAGATGGTGGGTAGTAGTTAGTTTTTATGTTTTTTTTTCGCGCTACTTTGAACTTTTACTCTGAAATTTATAGTTACTTCTATTATTGTTATTTGAAACAATTTAAAACTTTATTTAACTTTTCATTATGAATAATTTTTTTGCGGTGTAATCTATGTTTGTGTAGCTGGATAACATGTTGTTGTGATATGCATTTTATGATGTTGTGTGCAAGTTATGAAAATGTAATTGTTCCTTTATATATATGTTTTTTGTGCAAGATGTTGGTGTCTAATTTGTGTTCATTTTGCGTCAAATATTCAAATGCCAAACAACAATTGCTCTCTGTCGTTCTTCGATATTATCTTCCGTTAATCCGAAGGTAATCCAACGCATAAGTTTGACGTCCAATTTTTTTGACGCAAATACAGACACACATGTAGCCTCAACAAGAACCAACACTAAGGAGATGCAAATACATTACAAAGAATCATTTTAAAGGTAAAGAGATGAAAATTCATTATGGACCTCCAATTTACCCAAAGAAAAAGACATAAAACAGTTGCAAATCCGATGATATCATTGGATTAGTCTCTAATTTACGTCTGATATGTCTCATGCAAATTTGATCAATTTCTTGAATGTGTACATATGGTGATCATGGAGCCCTCCCTGTATTTGCATTGTTTAATGTAAATACTGTGAACGTAAGTATAACATTGTTTTCCACTCAAACTGTGATATTTCGACAGCTAACTCTCAAAACTAAGAAAAAATATTACATCATGAGAGTTCACATTATTGTATATGCAAATTGACACCGATATAACCTCCCCTAATTGTAATATTTCCTCTAAAACTACATCTGTTTACCAAAGTGCAGGTCTTTTTCAACCCTTATTTCCAATCAATCTCTCAATTATTATTATTATTATTATTTTGTAAGGATATATACTAAGAAAACTTGTAGGCAGCGGCCTAAAATAACTAATTTAAAACTAATTAATTAATTAAAAAAATTCATCACAGCGGCAGACTCTGACTTGCTGTTAACCGACTTTTCAGAAAATGATTTTGAGCAAAACTTAAAGAGCACATGCAATTAATGATATAAACAGGAGCAGAGTTAATTAATTTAGAATGACTTGAGGCACATAGCACTAACAAATACATTTATTGACTATGTTTGGAATATCATTGTGGGGTGGAATCCCTTTCAGAGTAAGTAATTAGTTAAGTAATATTTAATTAATACGTACTTCTCCTCATGCATCATGCATGGCATGTGGCTGGCGGTTGACGTAGAGACAGAGAGAGTCAGAATTTACAGAAAGTAGTCGGTAGCTCATCATCGATCCAAAGGGCTTCAGAGAATTGTCTGAAAGTGACAACGATATGTGGGAGAAAGTATAATTTATTATGCAGATCAATAATATAGGAATCAACTAATCATATGTTTCATATATAGTTTATTTTGTATATATTAGCTGGATGTATGGAATCATGCAGGAATATATCATAATTCTTTTGTGTTGGACAACTCCCAACGACAAAGAAAATTTAAGCCTTAATGTAGCAAGAATATATTCAGTACACACATGTAAAAAGGATATGAGAAATCAAATTTATATACATGAAAATTCTAAAATAATAAAAGAAAAAATCATAAGATCTAGCTAAATGAAAGTAGGTGATGAAGTTAGAGAATTTAACTCTTTATTCTGATCAGAGAAGAAAAGATTACAATGAATAATTAGTTCTCTTTTTTGTTACTATAAAAGTTGTCCGAAAATGATTGTAAAAGTACTAAGACTATAATGATCATGGACTTCCACCTCTCTTTATTAGTGTACATTTAGTTATGAGCTCTGGCCCCTTCTCTCATGTAAAGAGTACGAGTCTTTTCATAACTTGTGAGAGTCACATTGCGATAAATTTGGCCAACTTCTTATAAAATTGTAACAAACAATTTATGTTAATTCTTTTGATCGTTCATTTAACAATCAAATATTTTAATAACCTAAAAAGTGAGTGATCTTAGACTCTTTAGATTCCTCTAATCAAACCATTCAATTAAATTTGAAGATCACTAAACCTCAATTACTAATTTAAACCTTCCAATTATATTTTAAGTTATTAATTTTAGCTCATTTGGACTCAAATTAAACCATATTTGTTGTCCTCATATCATTGAGATGTTCAATATAACAATAAATTGGCTAAAGTTAAAACTCATGTGATCATAAATTTGGCTCTGAAAATTATCCCATTGGCAAAATTCATTGAAATTTGTATTTAAACATGTGGATTGTTTGACTGGACATGGAATTTAATCATATTTGGTTAAAATTAAGGAAATTCTTCATCAAATAAAAAATGTAGGGGAAGATTTACTCAATTCTTATGTATTTACATATCTAAAATAAAACCTAAACTTCAATTTTTACATGTCACCTTACCTATATATACAGGGGCACACAGAACCATAAAATCTATTTAATGAAAGGATGAATTAATAATTTTAAAAATAGTCTTAATCTTTTTTATCCTAGTTTGATGCAGATAAGGATGACTTTATTTTTTTTTATTTTAATATGGACATCTTAAAAATATGCAAATAAAAATATATAAAAAAATTATTTAAAATAGTTGTGTAATCATTTTATTATTAGTACTATAATCATTTAGTTAGATATTAGAACATGAAAATTTTAAGGGAATTGTACATACATAGCTTTTGAAAATTTGGTAATTACATATTCAGCGCCTTGAACTTCATATTTAAGTGCTCAACAATCAACATCATCTCAGTTAAGTCTATCTTTTTCTTTGTCATGCTCTGCTGTGTTAAGAAAAGTGTGGTGCCTCGCCGTCCGCATGCGGACAACCAACCACCGAGTGACAGGTCGACATAACCGGGCACTGACTTAGCATGTATGCGGAGTTGTCGCTCCACAGTTGGTCGTCTTCACATGTGGAACATTGATGCGATACTTTCTCCATGTGTTATAGTGTGTCGTTGTCATCGAAGTTGAGGAAAAAGGATCAGAGCCGAGATGGAATCCAATGGCTTCACCCATGCCCAACTCAGACTCTCACCGAGATCTACCAGCCTCGCCACCCCCAAGGTTTCCAAGATTGCTAAGTTGCCACCTCGAACGTTACGAAGTGACTTACTTGTCAAATTTATATATCTCACACCCAAAGTTTATTATTTACGTATAAAGTATCTCAGATAATGTCGTCAATGAGTCGCCAAATTCTATCGGACATAATAATTGCAGCATTCTCCACTTTTGGTGGCGATGAAAAAGAAACAAACATGCTAGGGGATGTGAAAATAAAGCTTAAAATCTACAGAAAAAAACTACTTTAAAAATCAATATGATTGATACAAAGCGCAGGATCTTAAATCCCATTTCTCCTCGTTCCAATCAGTGAAAATGACAAATCTTATATAGGCTTATACTGGCTCTTAATCCAGGGAAATTAGGAAGATGAAGCCGGTTTGCCTCTGCTTTACTTGCATAGCACTCAAATCTTTAATATCACATCACAATTTCACTATCACCTACCTTGTAAAAGTGAAATACACCATTTTCATGCATAGGTTTAGCACACATAGTGTTATCAATATGAATTTTATGAGAATTGTGTGGCATGTGTATATATTTCCTTAGAATTATTTTATTTTCGCACAAAAACATAATTTTTATGTTCAAGTATTTTCGTGGCAAAGTGAAAGAGCCATCTCGCACTTTGATCAATTTACAAAGCTTTGACCTGGAATAGTCTCAGCATTTTCTCAAGGAAAATGGAAAGAAGAAAGAGTCAGGACTTCTGATGTAAGAACACGTGTCAACAATCTATACAATGACAATAAAAGCCAACGTCAAGTCTGCTACACTCTAAACCCTAAACATTTATACAATAAACATGAGTTCATGAACTTTACACTCTACCATGAACACAGCCAGTTCTAATCAACAAATGACGTAGAACTTGGAAAAAAATTAAATATTAACAGCAGACAAGGAATGATCCTCGCACTATCTGTATCAGCATCTTATCCATGCAACGCCATGCATGATGTTAGATAACAGAATTTACACAGTAAAGTAAACTTCACCGAGCTGCGGCCTTATCTTCATCTGTGGTGCTCAAGCTCTCCAAAGCCATGGCTGCACTCCCCAGATGCTTTAGAAGGATCTCATAAATCTTCCTTCTCACCCTACCACATGCCACGCCATCATCGTCCTCCAACACAAAGCTTTCTTTCGAACGTTCAGTCGCCCAACATTTATCCTTCGTACTCACTGTCGCCAACCAGTCATCGACTCGCTTCAGTTGACACAGCAAAGAAGCAATCTGAGACTCATTTGTCTTGCAACAGCTTTTCTTGGTATGAATAACATCGAGTAATTTCTCAATGAATCTTAGAAACCATCTGTTGCATTCAGACTGCAGTGCCTTTGCCAAATCAGCAGCAATTATGTTGCAGTTTAGGGTGGGTAGAGCACTTAGAGCTGATAGAGAATCAGGGCCCTTCTTCTGCCTGCTCCTGGAGGTTTGGGACTTTCTGTCGGGCGATGAGGGTTCTGTAGGATCTGTAATGGTGTTTGATGTTTTTGGAGATCTTGAGAGTTCTGATTTTAGGGCTGCTTTGATCCATGAAGCTGCGCATTTTCTTCTCTCTGATGCATCTTTTGCTTGATGCAAGGAGGAGGATAAAGGTTGAGAGAAGCTGGAATTGGTTCTGGACAATGATTGAGTGGCTAAAATGGTTCTTGAAAGCTCTTCATGGAAGTCCAGGAATTTGTCTACGACCTTCTGAGGATTGTGGTCGACCTTGCTGGCTTGTAACTCCGAGTATGTGCTGATGAGAAAGAATGTAGCAGAGAAGAAGAAGCAGAGTTAGAAAGGAATAAATACGTATGTATGGAGAGCTGATGGCTTATTTCTTCAGAAGGAAAGATCAGCACTGCCATATATATTAATTTTCCTTTCAATTTATTTCAATCTTTGAGCTTTGAGAATAAAAAATCGTTGGATTCAACGGACCATTCAAATAGCATGCGCATTGGAGAAGTTGATGTTTAATCAATGAAAACAATTGAATAAAAATTATTATGATATAGCAAATGCCTGAAATTTTTTTTTAGAGTGTCAACGATCACAAAGAATTCTGGAAAAATTAGATATTGCTTTTTAACAGGAGGACACATCATGCTTTCAAATTGAAATTGCTAGTCATTAAACATGCAACATACACTTTAATCAGGTTACCCATACATTATGCCATTACTTTAGGATGCCTGGTATTCACTAAACTAAGCATGTCGATTTTCTCTGTTCAATCAATATCAATATATACCATAAAAGAAATTTCACAACTTCCTCTTTCATGAGCGAAATATTCATGCAGTACAATCTTCCAAAAAAAACATCAAAATTGAAAATTTATCTTACCTCAGACATCCAAGTAATTTGTCCAATGCACATGCTTCCTGCAAGGCATCCAAAGCAATAGAGAGAGCGCTATCCCTTTTTCTCAAGACTTCCTGGAAAAACAATGGTTGAAGCAACTGTTTTACCCAAAGAAGAAGAGAGGCAACAGTAGCCTCCTCTAAGAAAAAGAGCGGGAAAGCAAAATAGTAATGGATAATTACACAGAAAACACTAATAACCATACTATTTTAATTACCAAACAGATGCATTCACTCATCCACCGTCAAAGCATTGAGAATTTGGTAAAAATAAAACATATGAATTGGAGTTTTATCGTCAGATTTGATATTTGAATGATAACTTCAAAAAGGGATCAAAGAAGGTGCTAGATTTGTAAATAGTAAAGTTTCTAGTGCAATGTATGTAATTGCCCCTAGTAAGAATTCAGAAAGGACCGTTACCTTCCCATACTTCACTAAGTTAAAAGTAAGAGATCCCCACAACACATTGCTTCCGGGCCACTTCACGTCATCATATGTAATTAATGTAGTTGTTGCAGAAAGATTTTTTGTGGACAACTTGCTTGGAGTAGAATTCCTTTTTTTGGCAGAATTACTGTGTAGTGCTTTTAGTTCTACATCTCCAACTCTTCTGGCCGCCCATGGTTCCACCAAACTTTCACCTTTGGAGATGCCAGAAGTAAAATGGGCCAAATCACCCTGAGTAAATTAAGAAAAAAAAAAGAATCACATCACACAATTTACTCAAAATCATAGTAGATTATATGCAAATATTTAGAAAGATAATAAAGCCAAAATAAAAAATTGGGACGGATCATAAAGACATAAATATGGATCTGGCATAAAAAATCAATAACAACATTTTAAATGAAGTTAGTAATCATACTTCCAAGTACAATAAACTATGTTTCACTGTGTTTTGCTTACACATTAAATATCACCCCTCAATTTATAGCTTGTTCGATTACAAACCACACGAAACTTACCCTTATATTTCCTTCAACCATGTGCAAGCGCACATATAGGCACACCTACACACACAGTATATATATATTGATTACCAAGGTATTTAATATGAAGATATGGAAATAATATTATATTCACCAAAGTTATACAAAACATCTGTTCATTACCCTCTGCCTTACTCCTATAAATTCATTACCTGTCATCTTCTATCCAACATCTACATTATGATACATATCATTGCCTACCTAATAAATTCACTTACTATCTACCACCCCAAACACAATACAAAGAGTGTTGAAATATAAACTTGATTTTAGTTGTTTAAATAAAGCTTAATTTCTAGAAGCTTATTCTAGAATATGTGGTAGGTATGAAATTATTGTGTAGTAGGTGTGGTAGGTGTGGTAGGTGTTGAATTATTGTGTGGTAGGTGTGGACTTATTTGTAACCATTGGATTGTAATTGTGGTGGCACAATCCTAGTCATTAATTTAGGAGGTGCCACTAGTATAAATAGGGGTGGAGTCTTTGAGTTTGTATCAAGTCAAGTAAAGGTGTTAAATAAGAGTGAAGCTTCTTCCATAAGTTGTGTTTTTAGCCTTTGTCATTTCCTAAAAGCTTTTCCATTCCAACAAAGTGGTATCAGAGCGAAGTTCCATTACAAAAAAATGGCAAACGGTGGCATGGCTTCGTTCCAAGTCCCGATGCTTAAGGAAAGCATCTACGACAATTGGAGTATCAAGATGAAGGCACTCCTTGGAGCGCATGACGTTTGAGAGGTTGTGGAGAAAGGCTACGATGAGCCAAGTGATGAGTCTGTTCTATCCACAACACAAAAGGATAGCTTACGAGACTTGCGAAAGAGAGACAAGAAGGCTCTCTTCCTCATCTATCAAGCTTTAGATGAAGATGGTTTTGAGAAGATCTCAAGTGCTACTTTGGCCAAACTAGCATGGAAGAAGCTCGAGGTTTCATATAAGGGAGAAGAGAAGGTTAAAAAGGTACGACTTCAAACTTTAAGAAGTCAATTTGATGTTTTGCATATGAAAGAAGGCGAGTTGGTCTCCGATTACTTTTCTAGAGTAATTACCATTTCCAATCAACTAAAAAGAAATGGTGAGAAGTTATAAGATGTGGTTATCATGGAAAAGATCATCTGATCGTTAGATTCAAAATTTGATAGTATCACAACCATTATCGAAGAGACGAAGGACTTACAAGTCATGACGATAGAGCAACTTCTGGGTTCATTGCAAGCCCATGAAGAAAAGAAGAAGATGAATGAAGAGATAGTCCAACAACTTCTCAAGACAAATCTCCAACCAACTCAGAAAGATGAAAGCTTCAACAACATTAGAAGCCGCAATAGAGGACAAGGACAAAGTCATGCTAGAAAGCAAGGATGGAGTACCAAAAATAACTATGAGAAAGGAGAAAGATCTACAAGAGAACGTGGTCAAGGGCACTCAAATTCGAGGTATGATAAATCTCAAATTAAGTGCTATAATTGTAACAAGTTCGGGCATTATGCGAAAGAATGTAGAGCACCTAAGTACAAAGTGAATGAAAGAGTCAACTACATTGAAGAAAAAAAAGAAGAAGATGGCACTCTACTTCTAGCATACAAAGGCAATGAAAGAGGTGAAGATAGTACATGGTACCTGGACACCGGTGCAAGCAACCATATGTGTGGGAGACGAAGCATGTTCGTAGAGCTTGATGAATCAGTAAGCGGCAATGTGTCTTTTGGAGATGAGTCCAAGATAGAGGTGAAAGGCAAAGGTAACATTCTCATCCGTCAGAAAAATGGGAAGCATCAATTTATTTCTAACGTATACTTTGTGCCGAATATGAAAAGCAACATCTTGAGTTTAGGGCAACTCTTGGAGAAAAGATATGATATTCACTTGAAAGAAAATACTCTCTTCTTAAAAGACAATATTGGTAACTTAATTGCTAAGGTGCCAATGTCTAAAAATAGAATGTTCTCACTCAACATTCAAAATGATATTGCCAAATGTCTGAAGACCTGTTATAAAGATGCTTCTTGGCTCTGACATCTTCGATTTGGGCATCTCAACTTTGGAGGACTCGATTTGCTTTCAAAGAAAGAGATGGTGAGAGGACTACCTTGCATCAACCACCCTGATCAATTATGTGATGGATGTTTACTCGGAAAACACTTTAGGAAAAGCTCTCAAAGGGAGTCAAGTTCAAGAGCCCAAAAGCCTCTTGAGCTCATACATACAGATGTCTGTGGTCCAATAAAGCCAAACTCACTCGGTAAGAGCAACTATTTTCTTCTCTTCATAGATGATTTTTCACGAAAAACATGGGTGTATTTCTTAAAACAAAAATCAGAGGTTTTTGGAATATTCAAGAAGTTTAAAGCAGATGTAGAGAAAGAGAGTGGTCTCAAGATCAAAGCTATGCGATCTGATCGAGGAGGAGAATTCACTTCAAAAGAATTTCAAAAATTCTGTAAATCCAACGGAATACGTCGACTTCTAACTGTTCCAAGATCCCCCCAACAAAATGGAGTAGCGGAACGGAAGAAGAGATCTATCCTCAACATGACAAGGAGCATGTTAAAAAACAAGAGATTGCCAAAGGAGTTTTGGGCAGAAGCGGTTGCATGTGCTGTTTATTTGGCTAACCGATCACCAACAAGAAGTGTGTTGGGAAAGACACCACAAGAAGCATGGAGTGGAAGGAAGCCTGGCATCTCTCATCTACGAGTTTTTGGATGCATAACTCATGTACACATACCCGACGAGAAAAGAAGTAACCTGGATGATAAGAGTGAGAAGTTCATTTTCATTGGTTACGACAACAACTCGAAAGGCTACAAGTTATACAATCCAAATACAGGGAAAACAACCATCAGCAGAGATGTCATATTCGATGAAGGAGAAGAATG